GCACTTGCACCCACGGCCTGAAAGCTGCAGCATCTATACACGCATAATCCACAGCACTACCCACATAACTATAATTGCAGCCGACCAACCACAGCGGGCCTGGACTTGACAGCGAGTCAAGTCCAGGTCCCGAGCATCAAACGCGCCGCCCGAGCCAGGGAGCCAGCCGTAAACGCGCTGTTTCAGACGGCGCCCTGCTCGGCGAGTGCGTCTGCAGGGCCCGAGAAAGCACCGCGTATTCGTCCGCAGCCGGAGGAGGCAGCGCCGCCGACGGTCCCAGTGACGTCATCCCTCAGAAGCATGACTGCTTATGCTAATCCGTTTACAGGTCCTTTGCAGAGACAGCCGCCTCCAAACGAGCCTTTCTCTGCTCGCTGGGAGCTGGCCTGCGGCGACGTGGCCGTCGCCTTCTGGAGATGTCCCAGCTTTTTACGGTGGTGGGACGGTCGTTGTTCCACCTAGAGTGTTCACTCCCCGCCCGCAAGCCGCAATCTGCATATAGATGGCGGCCGGCGACAAATTTATAGGGAGATTTTGGCATGCAAGGTGTCTTTTTCAGAAGAGGGGAAACGGATCGTAGTCATTTATGGATCGCTTAAGATGCGGTCGCTCGCCTGGTGTGAATCACACGGACGGTAATTGCTTTTTTAAGTACAGAAAGTATGCTACGTTAATTCTCTCCAATGGTGACTGCCAATCTTTGTACGTCGTAGATCTGCTATCGCCCTGCTCTGGTTGAGCAGAGTCATGCTCCGACCCACTGCATCGGGCGTGATTTCATATCTGAATCCCAGTGTGGTACTGAACAGTTTTGACCTCACTCTCGTAAAGTGAAGGAAATAAAGCTCAGATGTGTAATTTGTAGTCTACCGTATCAAACAACGAATCTTTGTATTCCGTTAGGAAGACAAAAATCTTTCTGGTGTTCCTTTTGTTCCCAAAACAGCTGTCAGGATAAGTATGTCCATTACATGTATCTGCTGCCTTTCCATGACTCCATAACCAGAAACACACCCGCAATTTCATACTTAAGGCCTGAAAACGTTCGCTTCGCACAGGCTTATGCATGGAATCCACCAGAATTGCTCTTGACGTGGTCGCTAATATTTTCCCACAATTCACCTCAAAACCTGATCGCACCCACACTGGCGGCATCCGACACAAGAACATCACGCCCAATAAAACCGTGTGGCCGTGCTACGATGAACTCACGAAACACGTGAAGAGGTAGTGGTACCGGTCGTCGTTCATCTGCAGCTGCAGCAGCTGAAACGGCGTCAGGTGTGTCAGCTGCGTGGCGCGCCTCGCTCAGACTAGCTATAAGACTGATGACTGACTGATGACTGACTGATGACTGATGACGCCCGCTGACTGGCACCACATCACGACTGCTGAGTAAGCTTTGCTCCAAAAAAAGCGATCAGAAGATTCATCACACATCACGACTGCTGAGTAGGCTTCGCTCCAAACAAAGCGATCAGCAGATTCATCACACACACGACGCGAGCCACCTTCGCATGGCTACCACATGTTCAACCGTGCTTTCATACTTTTTTAAATTGTTTCGTTTCGTTCGATTCCCATAAAATAATCCAGGTGAAGAGATAGCAAGAGAACAATTAACACACTTAACATGAGCGTGGCAAGTCCAACTAAGAAAATCACGGTAAAACAAAAACCGAGTGGAATGAACCTAAATTAAGCCGAATCAGCTACATCTGTAAATCGCCACGAGCAGTTCCGCGCGATCAAATCCGCTGTAAGACATTGTTGGGCATAAATTGAGCCAAACGCTGGATGCTTGTCAAAACAATCGGTCCGTCGCTGCCGCCCGGCGGCGTCCGTCCGCCCCTCCCTCCCCTTCCCCGCACCGCGATCGGCCCGGCCCGCGGCATCGTAAAGACCGCTGAGTGCTGCAGGAGGAATGAAAATGGACGGACGTGAGACGCAGAGGGCCGTATCTCGGACTTCCGCGACTGGGAGACGAGTCCGGGGAGGGGGCTGTGCGTGTGGGCGGCCGTGTGGAGAGGGAGGAGGGGGGAGGGGGGCGATCGCCGGGGAAGGCGTCTGCCGGTCGCGAGAGAGGTGAGGGACAGTGCTCGAGGCTCAACTCCTGCTCGCCGGGACTCGGCAAGATGCTGCCTTTCATCCTTGCGTGAGTCAGCTACATCTGTGTTCCTGATTCGAAACCGATCCATTGACTATTAGTGTGAGCAGAAGTCATGATAAAGGCTGTATATAGGTCGTGAGGGTTGACATGTTTAGTTTACCGCAGCATGCAAAAGGCTGGGGTGCAAATTGATCAACAGGTTAATGGCTTAGGTGGCAGCATGTGGTGGCCCATTTCATCTAATCACGGAACATGCACTGTGCACTAACCTCGGCAAAAGGACATACTGGGTCATCATGGCTTATACTGCGGAGCTAAGGCGCGGGCAGCGTGGCAACAGCAAACACGGAATTAAATGAAATCGCTAAACGTAAGAGTAAGAGGCAGATATCGGCAAATACAGACGCATTTATGCTCAGACCCTATGCAATTAAAAGATCTTAAGCCTACGTTACTCGCCCAAGCGCTACGAAACGAGCGCATAAAGTAATGCGCGACGGAGACATGCTGGAAATCCGCCAATCACCACTCACCGCGTCCTGCCTACAAAACTTGCGCTCGACAGGGGCATCACACCTGCGTTGTGTGTGTTGAGTTGGGGGGGGGGGGGGGGGTTGTGGGAGCAATAGAAGACGCCCAATCAGTAATGGTTTAAATTGCGCTCGTTCGTCTGTCTTCTCCAATGTCCCACCGGATAGATATTCAGATCAAACTGATTATAGATTATATAGATTATATATCAAAGTGCAATGCCCGGACCAGGCGAATAAAATGGCTGGTAAACAAGGCATAGTAATCAATGGCTGGTAAATGAAGAGCATATCACCGATCGAACGGCACAAAACTCACCGATCAAACGGCACATAACTCACCGATCGAACGGCGTATAACTCCCCGATCGAACGGCGCATAACTCACCGATAGAACGGCACATAACTCACCGATCAAAAGGCGTGTAACTCACCGATCGAACGGCGCGTAACTCCCCGATCGAACGGCATGTAACTCACCGATCGACAGGCGTATAACTCACCGATCGAATGGTGCGCAACTCCCCGATCGAAAGACGCGTAACTCATCGATCGAACCGCGTATAACTCACCGATCGGAGGAAGAGTTGTATATTTTCCGGATTCGTGTCCACCACCAGGTTGAAAATGCCCTTGTCCTTGATCTCCCGCAGCACATGGCGGTAGTGTGACGGCCCCGCCTGTCGGATGTACACCTCCATCTCCAGGTCTGGGGGTGCTTTCACCAGGTCCTGTAGCTTCACTAGGCCTGGGGGCAGCAGGTGAAGGCACCACGTCAGGAGTTGGCCACCAGGCCCTGTGGCTTCACTTGACCTGGGGACGGCCGGTGAGGCACCACCTCTGTTTATATCAGCTATTTATATATCAGCAGTTTATATTTATTGTTAACAGCCATCACCTTTCTCTGAACCCGTTGGCTACAACGCGCAAAATGCTCGCAAAAAAAATGTATTGCCACGAATACACATCAGTCGTCGTTGCCGAAGCCCAAATTTGGTAGATCTGAGATCAAGTGAAGTCATGCTAACCACATTTGTCATGAGGCGAAACGCATGGTGGAGAACAAGCCTTCCAGAACAAGCGTTCGTGTATGGCTCGCCGAAGAGGGTCATTTGGCCGCTGGCTAGACGGCCTCAGTCTGATTACAGGACGCCAAGAGTCGTGTCATTGACATGACACGGTAAATGTTCTTTCGTGCTATTTCGCGGGGGCCCGAGGCAGAATGGGTCTGTTCAGCCTTCATTAAATAATGGATTGGCGGTTCAGAGTGCAAACATTCTTTTGTTTTCTGCTGGAAACGAGATACAAAATCTGCCCCGCCAAACTTGTTGCTTTTTGTTCTGTGTGTTGTGCATCCCATTTTATAGCTGAACCAAAATTTTGAGGTACCGATACCACACCAAAAACTGTATTCTGTCACCCGTTTATTTTTCTCATGAGATCATGCAGTAGAAGAAGCCGGATTTCAAGTAAAACAACGATAGGCTTGTGGCCTCCCATGCGTAGCAGACAAAATGGCGCTTGGCATAACAATCACCACGAGAACAGTGAATCAGTGACGTCGGTATGTTCTTTAGGCTGAGGCAAAAAGTGTTTGTGGTTAGATTGGCCAGACAAAAAAAACTTCATGCTTAAAAGGTCTAACGCGTATTATCTTAAGTTACCCATAATTTGTGGGAGTAATTTTGAGGCTGCAGCGATCAAGTTGCTCGCTGCATCCTCCATGGCGACTCCACTATGCAGAAAAATGAATAAGTCTTTTTGTGTGATGATTATCTTTCACCTTCGCTTTTTATGGTATTCCAGTCAAAAGTATTTGGGAGCCCAAGCCAACTTTGGGAGGCTAAACTTCACATCGGGGGCTAGATCTCTCAGAAAAGAAAGCAAATCCACACCCGTGCCACCTTCTCTACGCCTCTAAAACTGCCTGGATCTGGCCGAGGCCGAGAAGCAACTAGCGAGATAAATCCCCCGGCTCTGCCGCTTGAAATCCCTGTCATCTTCATAATAGGACATCCTCTTATCTGGGTCCGACATGGAAGCAAAAACCCTCTCCCCTTCCTGTCCGCGGCAAAAATAGCGACCGACACGCGAAAGCCAGCAGAAATTCGTCCGGTATTTTCCGGATATTGAATCTGCGGCGCGTGGTCATATTACGTCTCGTCCCCAGCGAGCCGGTAAATTCCGATACTCTCCGACCGGAGGGTCTAGTGGACAGCACGGCGGTAAAACACGCGACTAGGCGCCGGCTCGACGCGGGCAGAAAAACAGCATCGAGAAGAAGATCTCCGCCTTCGAAGCGGCCTGCGCGCTCGGCTGCAGGCTGCCCCCGGCTGACACTGCCGGTGAGGTAGCGATCGTAATGCTGCGACATCTTGGCCGCAGGCAGCGAGTAGAACATAGCAGATGGCCCATTCGTCAGTGATCTCTGGTCATCGGCTCAATGGCCTGAAAAGAATCGACGGTATCCCGGCTTATAGAACCTCGGACAAAAGTTTCTTCTAGCTGGAAGAGCCCAGCCTGCATCGCTCGTGCGGCGGTTGCGGCGGACCAACGGCTGTCCTGTCCGCAGAGGAAGCCTCCCGGCGAGCGGGGCACGTGCGCCGACTCGCCACCGGCGCAATCCAACGAGTTCAGCCGTGCGCTCCGGGCTCCGCTGGTTGGGATGCAGACTCTGCGGGACAATCGCCACCACGACCACCCGCGGATAACAAAAATCGCCGCGACGCTTGGCCCGACGTCGGGACCAAAATCGGCTGGACCGGTCGCAGAATCGGTGGCGGCGGTACGCACTGGAAATGATAGCACTAGAGAGGTACCCGGGCTTGGGTTTTACTTCCGATATGGCGTGGAAGAAGAGAGCGGTCGTATCAATTTTGAAAATAGCGATAGTGTTTCGCTGTATGTATTCACTAACACAAAAGACCACAAAGACCGCACGGGAGTGGAAATATTCGAGAGAATCTGGTTGTGTGTCATGCTGACGATAGGCCTCCGGTAGATTGAAGGCCTTCAATAAACAACGAAGCACAGGTTGCGAGGAATATTTCTCATTTGAAGATATTGAAACAAGCATCAGATGTGATTAGACAAGCTCACTTATTGATATTGGCATGCCTTGTAAGTGGAAAGGACTACTCAAGACAGCACAATTTGCTGTTAAGTTAATATGCTCCTCAAAGTGTCATGGTTTGATTACGTCATCGTACCTTGTACAACATTGATAGAGAGCCAATTAACGGCCGTCATATCTGGGAATCGTGCATGCGAACGCCAGATTTGAGCGCCTCGACAATTATATTATTTTTGGTTTGATCGCCGCATGGCTTATGGAATGGCAGGCTTTGAATGACGCTATTACAATGTCATAAGTGCCAAGCTGGCTTTAAAGTACTCTCCCCGATATACCTCTCTCCACTTTGGGAGACGTTTACTTCAGAAACTAGAGGGTCTTATGTCTTAAAAAGGCAGGATTGTGAACAGCACCGAAAGATCTTCAAGATGGCTTTTTCAGTTCAAAACCCCATATAAATGTGGGACGCTCTTTTTAGTTGACGCTGTCAAGGAAGCATCGACATATTAAAAAACTCGTTGTGTAGTGTTCATCGTCGTCGTGAGTGAACATGACCAATCGCAAGCATCAGTGCAGTTTAAAACATCAAGTTGGCCAATATAGCCAATGCTTCCTTGACAATGACGTTTCATCAGCGTCTCCTGGTTTATTACAGGTTGATTATTGTCAGGATAAGATTTCCCGGAAGGTCAAAGTCTGTGTTCCTTATGTTATGTACTCGGGGTGAATCGTTTCTTTGTAGCGTCTTCTACAAATTGTCTTATGTATCCTGGTCTTACCACAATCTCCTCCAACGCCTGACGACAGGTTGTTACTTCATCATCAACGCACGCGCACAACAATGCATGAAGATGCGCATCAGGTCTCAGTATATGCCTGCTGACAGTTAAGTTAACTCGTAGTACAGTTAAGTTAGAGGCTCTCTAGAGTAAACAACAACAGGCTGGCTGACATCATCTGATGATAAAACCTACGCAACATAGCATGCACAGAAACATGAGAAAGACACCGCATAATAAAAGCATGTGTGCGACAAGAGATACGAACAAACAAGACTGAAAAGGTATACCACCTCGACCAAAAAGGCGGCATATCAAAGACTTCTGCTGAGCAGCGTGTCGGTCGTGCGGAACGGCAGATGAAAAAGAAATAGCATCGGATTCAGCGTGAAGTCAATTTCGCGTTTCCATCTCTGCCAAGTGTCGTCTGATATAGAAAACAAAATGTCAAAGACTGGAGCACGGACAGGCTTTTGATACGCAGCAGACGACTTTCAGGGTTCTGTTTATTGGGGGAGACGTTTGGCGCAGCTCGAGTATAAGGATATGCTGCGGCGAGATTGAAACATCATCCACAGAGCAGAAATACTGTCTGAGAAGTAAACGACAAAGCCAACACATATGTCCGGCCACGTATGCGCGCCCTTCACAATAAAACATGTGGGCATACAAACGAAAACAGGAAAACAGACGAACGCTCCTCTGAGCGTATGGTTCCAAATTGCTCATCAGCTGGAAGTGTCGCCAAAAGAATACTTAGAGCGGTATTTCTGAGCATGTTTTTTTGCAATTATCATTACGACTTCCAGTAATCCTTTCGAGCAGCATGAGCAGCGTCATGTATCTGTCTGACCTTTGTCAGTGCTTTTTGTAGCGTAGCCCGAGCCTAGGGGGGTTCAGGTATCCGTGCGGTGCAGATTTGCGACAAAATGCTGTTTGCGTTGGATTTAGAGTGGGATGGCATACCAATGACAAAACCACATTTCATGCGAGATTATGCCATTGCAAATACAAGGACGAGCATCTAACTTTTGCCCCTGATACCGTCATGTTATCTAAGTTTTTGAAAGATGAAAGCTTTGAACTGTGTTTATTTTGATGCCGCGTGATTTTATTTCAAGCCTAAAGACTCGATGCGATGGAACTCCATTTCTGTCATAAGCTCTCAGAGTAGGATATGCAAGGCGACTCATCGGCTCGCATCCGGACTTCACCCAAAGGATAAGTTTAAAATACATACGCAAAAGGCCTGATAAATTTCTCAGTATCGTGACCTTTCATGCCGAAAATAACCGACTATTAGTCCAGCGAAGACCTTCAAGCAATGTCAAGGTCAAGGTAAGAAAGGCTTTCAACACCTTTTTTGCATCGTGGTTTCTATATTGTGGGATGGCAATTACCAATCTTTAAAAAAATCCGAAGAAACAGGTTCACCAAGGATATCAGCAGCATAGAAATACGCTATAAATATACTTGAGTATTTACCCTATGCCCGTGATCGACTGACATCCTCGTTGGGCTGTTCCTCGTTCCAATGGAAGCCCAAAGTCAGTTATAATCGACGTAAGAAGTCAATATCTCAAATGAAACACCAAACGAAACGTTACGATCACGAAATGTTTTGGCTTGCAAATATCAGATGTCACGTCCGCAGAATTTTCCTCAGATGACTCCGCCATAGCCCTGTGAGCTTCAGCGCCCCGGTGCTAAGGTGTATGAACGTAAGCGCTCCATATGTGGAAATACCACAACCCTACATCAAAGGCGCGATTTGTGGAATATGTATATATATATATATATATATATATATATATATATATATATATATGTATATATATATCTCCCATTTTTCAAGTCCGACTTGCCTCAACGGGAGCCAGCTTGCGCCGGCGTTTCACTCCGACTCGCCTCACCCGCGTCCTCCTCGTAGACGACGGCCACGCGGGTCCAGTTGAGGAAGCCCATGAGGTCCCTGAAGGCGCGCGTGAGGTCCTGGTAGCTGGGATGCAGGTTAACGCTGAACTGGCGGCGCCGCGGGTCCACGTCCAGCCGCGTCTCCACGTGCGGCACGTCCAGCGAGTCGCAGATGCTCTGCACGTGCGCGCCGAGCAGCGTGTCGGAGGGGCCGAACAGGCCGAACACGCCCCCCTGCAGCTGGCCGCACGCTGTCAAAATCGAGGGGGGGGGGAGGTTACGAGGCTGAGCAGGCAGGCACCCCGCACTGAGACTACCAGCACGCTGCGGATGTCGGGCAAGAACACCTGGTGCCCATTGCCGCCACACATGACGGCGAGACGCGCCGCGGCACACGCGTTCGAGCCGACAAGTGTCCCGACATCGATCAGGAACGTTGCGCCGCAGACCTGGATCACACAGCAGAGCATACTGCAAGGGAACGCCGTAATCACCGCTAAATGCCCTGTAGCTTCGAGCTATGGGACATTCAACGCAGGCAGCTTCATAGCCCCGTGTAGCCAGCCGTAGTTATCTCCATAGCCAAGTGTCTTCCAAGTCGCCTTGTGGCAGTAAATGGCCTGATGCGGTCAGCGCTCAGCGTCTACAACATTCGCGAGAGATCGAGACGGATAGACAACACATGCATTTGTGTGTGTCGTGAAGTGATCGGAAGATCAGTTGCCTACGTTTCAAGAAACGCAAAAACAGCGCATTACAGTCGGGTCAATTACTTCATGTACCGTGCTTGATACACACGGTCATCACACCACACCACAGCACGCCTCCGTGCACGTCCGAAAGAGCCCGCCGTCGCCGAAGCCGACGCTGCAGTATCCCTACGTCTACCTCCCCTCCCCTTCCCCCAGATGGACTGAGCGACAGACGCGGTGTCGCTCAGTCCATCGCCGCGGGCACTGTATCACGTGGTCCACACCCCGGGCCGCATAACGAGCGCGCCCTGTCGGGGGAAGAGGAATCGTCCCCGCGTTGGGGGGCCGCGAGGGGGGAAAGCGTAGGAGCAGGGCCGGGTACGGGTCAGAGGGCGGCACGTGCGTCGTTACCGACGATGGGCGGGCGCCGTTGTCGGCCAGAGCTATTCCGACGTAGCGGGGTTGATGGCTGCGGCACCGGTCGTTCAAAGCTGTGGAGGGTGGATGGATGCGACTGGGAGGAATGCGACTATGCTGGACGGGCAGGGCTATCACGTAGCAAAAGCGGGTGCAAATCATAGCAGCAAACACCGGAATTCAAATCTACGGGCACTGGGTAAGTGTAAAATAAACATAACGTGACATTAACATGGCATTCAATGAAATTGTAACGTTACTTCAAATATACGGGACAACTTCGATTCATCGAACACTCGAACCGACCAATTCCTTCCAACGTCTTGCCGCACGGACACACGAGCACATCTCAAGGGAGTTCAGACATAACCCACATATACTGCAGGACATTCGCCTGTCCAAACGTTCCCGTTCGCGGCCATACCTTTCTTAGCGGCGTGAAAGCTGTCGTCGCGGTAGGCGTACTGGATGTCGTACTCCAGCGTGATGTTGGGCAGCAGTAGCGTGTCACTGTTGACCTTCAGCACCGCGTACTTGAAGGCCATCTCCACATGGCCGCCTCGGCGGTCTTCGGTAAATATCGCCCCTGTTGATACCGACAGTGAAGGATCAGGCCGTTGAGGGTATGAATGGGCGTGTGGTACGAGGCATTGGTACGAGACACTGGGACTAGGATCTCGTCCTGTCGCAAGAAACTCTACTGTTCGTAATTTCCACCAGGGACGGAAATGCTAGTGAGTAGGGTTTGGTTTGCCGTTCGGTTGGAGGCGTGCCCCAAATTTTGAGAAGAAAGTGGGCCACATCCGGGAAGAGGCCCGTTTGATGGCTCATTTTGGGAGAAGTTTCTGTCATTTTCCACTGTTCATCCCCAGCGCTTGTTGCGAGACTACGGTCCTGCAAATGACTCTGCTAGATGCATACACTGATAAACAATTTAACGATTGAACGGATACTGTTTCGTCGGTGTACCTGTTTTGCGTTGTAAGTCAACGCAGCAATCGATCGGACATTCGCCAACTGGACTTGATGACAACTCAATCCTCGTGGCACCCGTACACTACACCCGCGTGCCGGATACAAGGGCCTTGATGATACGTCTATTCGGACCGATGACGGTGATGAGCGAATATGACCCCTGTAGACGGAAGTAGCACCAGCCGTATTGCCGCCCCGTGTTTGAGTGTTGACACCTTCTTTAGCACGCAACATGAGTAAACAGACATGCCGATGGCTGCGTGTGCGTCATCGGGCTGTGGTCACATTCCACGACACTACACCCACGTGCACAGATGTCCATTCGTAGTGTTTTAGGTGGGCCACTGCCTTCACCCCCTCCATATCCAATTTGGCCAACCCAACGGTGTTGCTCCAACTTTCTGGAGCCTAAGTAAAAGCATGGCTTTTGGAATCAGAGTCCAAAGTTGTTTTAATTCTCAGGAGATTTCCACTCATTGTTTCACAGGTTAAAAAAAACATAATAAAAAACACTTAACTGCGATGTCATGCTCAGTTGAGCCCAGCTGACTAAGCTAACCACACTTTACAAGTTCAACATGCCTATCTTGCTTACTTATGTATTTCTATTTTTCCTGCGTGCTGCACATGTCTAACCAATCAATCCTTTGTCTTGCTGACTCTGGTCCAGTTTTGCGCCTTGCCTGACATTATTAGCGATGCCATTCTTACCGTCTGACACCATCTGGCATTTTTTAACAACTTTTCCAATTCTACGGACGGTAGCAAGTTGTTTGTTTTGCCGCGCTGTCTTATCGAAAAAATGAAACAAACCGGTCGAATATTAGCACCCAAAAGCATCGAGTTTTTGACCGTCTACGTTCGGAAGAGCCTTTGAAATTTGCCACCCTCCACTTCGTCGTGAGTATTCGGTGGCATACCCCCGAAAGCCTGTCGATCGACACCAGCCGACTAAACCGAGGGCGGTAATCGCCCGGAAAGGACCGCCAAAACCACACCAGCCGTGTTGAACGTGCATAACGCGGCGCTTTATTGCAATCTGCACCCTACTTTACGGCTACCGGCCGTGGGCCTCCGTAGCAGCCCGTAATAGTTACGCACATCAACTTATCTCTTTATTTCCGGAGCCTGAAATCACATAACATCGACCCTATGTCGATTACCAAAACCTGGTCTCGATGAAAGACGCCAAACAAAATGATCATGATGCCCAACGATACCTTACGCCGAGACATAGCAAGGCAACAAATAAGAGCAGTGCTCTAGCTCCCTATTCAGTTGTGGAGGGGAGGGGGCGGACTACAACTCCAAAACGTCGAGACATGAGGACCTCAAATCCGGGTAAGAATTTGCTTTTTAGTGTATGTAGGGCTAGGTTTTCTCGCCCAATCACCCCAACCACATTGAGTGAAACTTCCCCTCCGTGATGGAGGCTCAATGACCGCGACACGCGGCGGGTTTGCTACCAGATTTCCCCAGCGTCAAATCTGGCCCCTGCGTCGGCCAGTGGGCCGAAGTGACTAACAATGATCCTATCTTGGCAATGCTCCTAAAGTTGGCCTGGGGCAGTGTTCGAAGTGGCCTGTAGCAGGGTCGCCCCTCAGGACCCACGATCAAGTGCTCGGTTGGAGAGCACGGGGGCTGGGTGCAGGTCACGTTAAGGAGCTCGTGCCGCAAGGCAGGCCCCCCAAATGTCGGTCAGGGGGCCAACTGTGCCAACTGTGGACACCCCGGGGCAATATGGGCCTCTATTTGGGTCAGAGACCACCAACACTGAACAGTCGATTTGAGCCCTGGGGGAACATTTCCCAAACAGCGATAAGGGCGAGACCCACAATATGCACTGTTTGATATCCCTGAAACAATGAGTGTGCCTGTGTCGGTCAGGAGCTCACATTGCCGAGCAGTGGCACAAGCCCAGTGCATGTGTCGACAAGCGACCCAGAATCGCATGCTTAACAGGGAAAGGGACGGCGCCCCGAATGAAAAGGGACTCTTCCGCTGGCCGGGGCCTTCCGACAAGGAAAGCTCATGTGAGAGGCCAGAAGCTGTTAGCTTTCTTTGTCCGAAATAAGCAGTCAGAGATCCGCACCGATCCTTGGCATTGTTGTGCCACGTGATCAGCCATTATTCATGTTAGAGGTTTTGCTTTGCCTTATTTTTTTGTCTTTTTCAATTATGTTGTGATAGCCTCCTCAAAAAATAGCAATACCTTTTGTTTTGTAGAGCCCCAAAACCTAGCGCTGGGAAGGAAACAGTCATTGGTGGTGGTAGCCAAACATGACGAAACGGTGCCAAAAGAAACAAGAAGGGAAGGGACATTGAGACAAAGATTCTAGAAGGATGAAACAAGAGGACAAGAAGGAGACGAGAAGAAAGACGGAGAGAAAAAGGGAAGAGGAGGGAATGAAAAACGGTGGGATTGGCTGAGGGAGATACAGAAGATAAATGTCTTCTATAACTTGCATGGCTATGGCACCTCGACTGAATAGCTGCAGCGCATAGGACCATTTCTCATCCAGAGACGGTAAATCACGAGGTAGCGTTTCTTCCATCCCACTCCTGCAGTTTCCTGGCACCTTTAGCCGCATCATAAATTCGACCTCCAAACACCAAGCAACGTAGAATGACAGCACAACGCCGTGGGAGAGAGCGATGCTCGGGCTAGAGGCTACCATGCCGTTCGAAGACTCAAGCAGACATCAGGAAAGGCAGACAACCGCCGGCTGCTTTGATGCACGCATTTCAGATGACAACAGAATTCCATGCTGTCAGATATTGTGCGGTACTGCACCGCTGTACCCTTGGCCGGATTCCCCGGCGCTCCGTAGCGCGACCCTTTTCCACCCATCCCCCCGGGCATGGTTTATTCATGCCCCTGAGCCGGGGGGGGGGGGGGATCACTGAAGGTGTCCGCGGCGCCGCCCTCGCCCTCCCCATGCCCAAGACTGACAGATCGCTGGCCGCCCTCTTCCCTCCCCGACTTCCCTCCTCTTTCCTCCTCCCCCTCTTCCCTTCCCTCCCCGACTTCCCTCCTCCTCTTCCCCCGACTGGCCGTGTTGCCGGCTGTCGTTGAGTCCGGGCCGCGGACGTGGCGTATGGTTACGACGTGGCCACTGCGGTCACGGAGAAACATAGACGACGAGGATTCCCCGTCGCCTGTGACGTTATTGATTTCGCGTTAGTCGTGAGCCGTTAAAATGTCATGGCGGATGTTTGTTCGCCAGGACTCGCGCGTTGGCTTGCGCGTGATTATGCACGCGACACACACACACACACACACACACACACACACACACACACACACACACACACATACATGCACACACACACACACACACACACACACACACACACACACACACACACACACACACACACACACACACACACACCAGCATCGAATGCGGTCTTCGCCGGCGGATCTTTTTTCCGTAATCGCCTGGGGTGGCGTCGTATGATCGTCACGGGCGGGTCGTGGGGCGCAGGATCAGCGACGCAGTATATTTACCGCGACGACGGCCTGGCTGCTATTCTCTCCGGACAGTGGTCTGCCGAGCGAGGAGGGAGAGAGAGGGACGGTGATGCCACCAGCTGTTAGATGGCCGGAAGAATGCAAGAGAGTGAACAGAATGCTGGGTGAAAAGCGAGGAGATAGGCAGTGTGAGATCTGTTGACGACAGCCAAGTAGGATACAGGCAGCAATATTTGGGAGAACGATGACACTTACACATGCATGCAAAGGAAAAGAGAGGATTATATGGGATGGGGGAGACTGGGCGCGGATAGAACAGGTCCATACACGTATCAATGCAGTGAGGAAACGGGCGGCCAGTCGGTAATAACGCGGACCGGACGGGAGACAGCTGAAGCATGCGGTCTGCGGAACTCAGGGCGGTCTTGGGTAACCTGACGTCATAAGAGCGTTCAAAGTATACTACCATGACGCGTGATGATGTATTATGCACTCGTACCGGAAGGTGTTGTTAAGGGACATTTCCCCGCGGACATTATCTGGTCACTCAACAAAAATGCGATTGACGGTATCACGACAACAGGCTTATAACTCATTGTCCGCCAGTAGTGGTCGGTAAATGATAAGAGATTAGATCAAAATGCTGCAAAATGGGCTAATAATGTTTTCCTGCACCATATTTTGAACTATTAAATTAATTACAAAAACTCATTGCCAGGAAATTCAGGCACTGCTTCTTCTGACGGAGGCATTTCAGTTTTCGACAGCAACACGGTAAGACACCCAAGAGGAAAGCGGCTAGTGGCAGATAGAGAGGGAGAGAGAGGGGGAGAGAGAGAGAGAGCCCTCTTGTCTCCACTGTCCTTCTTTCGCTCTCCCTCTGATATGCAGAAAGGAGGTACAATGCCAGCATCAGGGCGTTCCCTTGTCTGCACGTGCACTCCGGGACGTCCGGAAGCCTTAGACAGGGGCGTGGGCGGGGGGGGGGGGGGGGGGGCGCGTGCCGACATGGAGGAGAGGGAAGAGCGTGAGAACACCGCTGCCGCCGTCCGGTTATATCTCTCGTCAGCGCCTGTAGCACGAAGTGACGTCACTGGGCGCGGTGTGCCGCCATTACGGCTCGGCTTCACACGGCATAGTGCAACGTGGTTTAACTGGTGGGATGTGACGCCACTGTGGCGGCGTAGCCTGATGGTGGGGTGGCGGATGTGACCACGATGTGACGTCATCGTGGCGTGGCGTGCCATTGCTGTGACGTAACATAACATGACGGTGGTGTGACGTGACTCCAGCGCACTGTAACGAGTGCATCGCAGATAGACCCACACCTGGGTAAATTCAAGGCGTTGCAGCACAGACTTAAATGTACATGTGACGTGATTAATGGAAACTATCCCCGCCATCTTGTATAAGTTGTTGCCCAGCCAGAATGAAATTCGTCGAACCAGTTCTTATCTTGAAGTTCTTAATTTCCCGCTCTTGAAGTAGTGCGTCATAACTTTGATGGCGTTTCTAATAAAAGAGCTTAAATAAGGGAGTTCGTTGATAACATGGGGATTAAGACGGGCAGCTCTGTTCATCATACCGATTTTTGGCGGCCCAAGCAAAGCGCAATGAAATTGTCTCTCACTGCTGTGAAACGCCCAAAAATTTCCATGCCATGCCTGGCCAAATCTCGCCCATCCAGTGCATGCCTGTTGTCCAGACTGCATGTAATCCAACATCGTCTCACAAGTCAATGGTTTTGCAATGTTGCACTATAATCTACTTCATCGTGCAGCCACCTGAAGGCTGTAAACATCCCCTTCTGGATTTTGAGAAAAATTCCCATAACCTGACAGGCCAACTCAAATAGCTTTCGGTATTGCCTTGACAGGTAATGAAATGCACCTATTTGGGACGAGAACAGATTCGGTGTAAGGTTAGGTCAGATGGGATGTCATTGGTGAAAGCTTGCACGGCGAAATTTCCCTATCCATGCAACTTATCACAGCATTCTTTGTTGTTCTTAATGCTTTGATGTAAATTACCAGCTGGTTTGACTGCCTGACGCTGACATTGTCACTGATGACACTGCCGCTGACATTGTCACTGATGACACTGCCACTGCCACTGCCTCTGACACTGCCTCTGTCTGCTAGCCAGTATCAGCCACACTGCACCAGGCCACACCAGGTCAGCATAAGAGGTCACGTCAGGTTAACTAAGCAGCGCTGAGCGAAATTGATTCGTGAAGGTTGTTTATGTTAAGCACGCCATGATAAATGGCGCATTTAAAACTGACTGCCTGTGAAGTCATGTGGATCAAAGGAGGATGGATGATATGCAGACCACATCGAATGGGCAGCATGATCCTGACATGACATGATAGAGTTACAACCTGACCAGACCGGACCTGACCACCGACCTCTGTCAACGCCATGACATGATTCCGAAGCGCAAGGCACGCTTTCCCGTTTGGTGCCTATCGAACGACGAAAGGACTACTGTTATAAGCACCCGATGCCCTGAGGCCTTTCGAAAAATCGAGTATCGTCACATTATTTTGCGTGATCTGTGACGTAATTTTCGTGACGTCAGTCATATCACACATGAGACAGCTGGTTGTTTATTAGCGCCTTGAATTTATCTAAATCTTAAAACGCGACCGGCCAGCTTTCAGACGGCTGTCGCGCATCTGGCTATCGCGCATCAGACGGCTATCGCGCATCTGGCTATCACGCATCAGACGGCTATCGCGCATCTCTATCTGGCATCTGGTTCAATGGTTGGCGCGCAATCATACCAGACATCGAATTACTCCGGAGGTCGCCTATAAATTGGCTGGCCGTCTGCCGGCCATGTCTTACCACGGCCGCTGGATTGATCAACGATCCCATGAATGTTAATAAGCCGCTCACTGTCAGGCTGCGCCGGGATGGTCAGCCGATCGAGAGGGGCTGATTAAGGCTGATGTACATCCAGGACACCACACGTAGGGGCATAGCCAGGCTTGTACAAGCGGGGCCAGCGGATGGGAACATGTTCTAAGACGAAAAGACAGTCGGCTAAAACCGATTGCTTTGTGGAAGATCGATAATGAACACTGGCCGCGTCTAGTACTGATATTTTTTCAACGATGACTCTAACGTTAGTTAAGGCCTAATTTACCGCGAATCCACAAGTTTTTACGAGAATGATAGGTGGGTGGTAATCTTTCGAATGTCAAATCAAGGTAATCGAGGGTGAATTGCGTCAAACTAGGTCCTCAAACAAAATGCATGTTGTTCGTCAGTAACAAAAGGAACGTCAAGAAAGCGTAAATAAGTACGGATATCCGGCAAACGACCAATGGTTAGCATGACATATCAATAAGCATATCCAATGCTGCATAACCACGACGTAAATATTGATATTGGAGTCAGGTGTGGCCAAATTAAGCCCTGGTCAGTGGCATATGACATGCTATGTAAGAAATTGACCGCGATCATTTTTAAAGGAAGTGCTCCACATTTGTACATGGTTTTAACTTGAAATAACCATTTTAAAGATCGTC